GGGAGGGAGGGAGGGAGGGAGGGAGGGAGGGAGGGACAGAAGGATAGAGAGAGAGAAGGGAGATTGAAACTTTAGGTTATTAGAAGATCAGAGTTCAGAAAGTCGAATGAAAAATTAATTCTACCTTCTAAGTTTGGAAACAATCAGTAGTAAATGACATAGAAGATGAAACTTTAAAAACAAAACCAGACAACTGGTTTAAACAGTAAGTTTATAATTCCAGAAGTAATTTGGAATTTAATAAGATAAAAAAGATCAGAAAGTTTGATAAACATAGATTGTGTATGGCATCATCATTTTGGTAAGAATATGGCTCTATCCTTGCTAATGACAATAACCACTGAGCTCTGATGTGTGCCACTCACAGCATTTGTGAGCCTGGGGCACTTGAATCCTCACCATCAACTCTGTGTGTACAGCATGAATATCATGCCAATTTAGTGACAGAAAATTAGATACAAACACATTAAATGATCTTCCAGATTCATATAGTCAGAAAGTCCCAGATTTAAATTTGGCAAAATGATCTGAAAACATTGTTTTCTTAACTATGCTTTAGTGCACTGTGCTGGTTGGTGAGTTTGTGGAACTCGTGTTCCAAGATGACTCACTGACATATTCTGAAATGATAGCAGTCAGTGGCTAAGAACACTGACTGCTCTTCCAGAGGACCTGAATTTGGTTCTTAGCACCCACATCTATCAGTTCACAACAAATCCTTAGTTCCAGCTCCAGGAGGATCTGTCACCCTCTTACGGACTGTACTCATTTACACACATAAACACACACACACACACACACACACACACATACACACACACACACTATATATATATATATATATATATATATATTGTATGTATGTATATAATTTATAATAAAATCCTTAAATAAAAGTAATCAGACTTCATTAGCTCCTGGTAACCTGTTAGTTCAACTTGGAGAGATTTTAGGAACATCTTCCCTTCAGGCAATTACTCAAACACAGAATTTTTTGAAAGATTTTTCTTTTTTTTTTTTTTTTTTTTTTTTGGTTTTTTGAGACAGGGTTTCTCTGTGTAGCTTTGCGCCTTTCCTGGAGCTCACATGGTAGCCCAGGCTGGCCTCGAACTCACAGAGATCCGCCTGCCTCTGCCTCCCGAGTGCTGGGATTAAAGGCGTGCGCCACCAACGCCCGGCGAAAGATTTTTCTTAACTGAGAATAATTTCTATATCCATAGACTTATTATCCCTAAATGGAGGATTTTAAGCAGGTCTGAGGCTGTTGAACAAGAATAATGCAGCCATCTTAAAGCTATAAAAAGCTATAGCTTTTTAGTAGACTGTGAAATCTATTGGGTTTTGACATCAAGGCTGCTGAATCACCAAACTGTTGTGTTGAGGCTGGAACTAAACCCCAGGGATAGTGACCTCTGGGTCTCTGCACTGCTTTCTAATCCCTGTTTTTATGGTTTTGTTTTTCCTTTAGAAGCTCTTGTGCCATGAATAACCAAGAAATGCTCCTTCCTGCTGCTCAATACTGGTTCCGGTCACAACTGAGATACTGCAATTGTTGTGGCTATGCCCACTTACTAGATAACTGGGTAAGGACTCTTACAAGGGTCAAAACTTAATATGCAAACATTCACAGTTTATGGCCAAAGCAAAAATTATCCATTACATTGAGTATTTGTCTGGGGAAAGACCCTATACTTCTCTCAACCGTGTACTCAGTAGAAATGAGTCATACATAGTCACTGTACAAATTGATGAAAGGCTACAGCAAGGTTCCAGTCTTACATCCTCTCCTCATCCTTGGGTGTCTGTCCTTGGCAGTAATATTTTACCTTACAGTATTTGGAACTGAACATCTGAATCCAAAGCCAATGTCTGTAATGGGAGGAAGAATGGAAAAGTTCTGAACTTACCAATCTGGAACATTCTCTTCATGTCTTCTCATAAAAAGACCAAATGTCTTAAGTTGAAGGTGGATCTGAAAAGAAAAACATACGAGCAAAACATTTATTATTTACCACTGTGTTGCTGTCAAGTATATTCAAGGTCTCTTTGGGAGCTGTTTCCCTTTTCTGTAACTCTTTAGAAAACTAGGTCTATGTGGCTTCCACTCATAGGAGATGGCTTGAGTATGTACCATACGGCTCCTATTTTAGAGCCCTAAAGCTAACTGGCTCCAGCACAGAGCATGCTCAACATCAAAAATATTCTGGAGCCTTGAGGGCCATGAGGCCCCACCCCTCCCAGAGGAACTATTTGCAGTTAATGATGGAGAGTCATTGTCTTCTGTGGTGAAGCTACTGGTGGGCTGCTCATGCTTCAGTAAATATCCCCCTCCTGTGTTCATTCAAACAACCCTAACTAAACCTCTCTCTGTGTCTCTCTCTCTGTGTCTCTCTCTGTCTCTGTCTCTTTCTCTCTCTGTCTCTAGTGAGACAGACAGACAAAGAGACAGAGAGAAACATACAACATTCCAATAATTTTTTTTCAGGGACATGCAAATAGCAGGGAAACTCATGCAGAAAAGGGCATGGTTCCATAGGACTAAAGGGATGAGAGAGATTAATGAATAAAAAGATCAAAATACATTATGTAAATATATACATTTGTCAAAGAATAATATTTTTATTAAAAGTAGGGTTTTTTTTCACATAGTATATCCTGATATGTTGTCCCCTCCCTATACTCCTCCAAGTTCCTTCCCACCACCCCTTACACCTGGATCCACCATCTTTCTCTCTCCCATTAGAAAAAAAAGACTTCTAAAGAATAATAAAATAAAATAAAAACAAACACATCAGAATAGGACAAAACAAACCGAAGGAAAAGGGCCCAAGAAAAGGCACAAAAAAACAGATATAGATAGAGACCAACTAATTGACACACTCAGGAATCCCTTAAGAACATAAAACTGGAAGCCATGATATATACTCTAAGGGCCTGTAGGGCAAAGAGAGATGAGGGGAATAAAAATTAAAAAATAAAAAAGGATAAAATTTTAAAAAGAGAGAGCACCCTGACACAACATTATATGTCGGGAACCTCCAATGATGCAGCTGAGTTCATTTTCCGTTGCCTATCTACTTCTGGGCATGCAGCCTACCCTTAGGAGTAATTTGTTTCCCCAGCCAGACTCTATTGGAGAAAACTAAATTTTCATTTCCAAGTGGTTGGAGTTAGCTTCTATGTTAAGGATAGGAACATGTGTCTAATTCTTTTCAGATCTAAGACCCCATCAAGTGCAGACTAATAGGGGCCCTGTGAATGTTGCCTCAGTCTCTATGAATTCATATGTATGCCAATCCTGTGTTTAAAGAGCTTTGTTTCCTTGGTGTCCTGCATCCCCTCTGGTTCTTATATTCTTTCCACCTCCTGTTCCTCTGGGCTCTCTGAGCCCTGAAGAAAGGGATTAAATGGCAACATTTCCTTTAGGATCAGTGTCGCCTCTGCATACTATGTCTGTGAGTCTCTGTATTTGTGCCCATCTGATGCAGGGGGAAGCTTCTCTCCTAATGGCTGAGCAAGGCACTGATCTATGGGTATGGCAGAATGTTACTAGGAGTCATTTATTGCTAGATTCCTTTAGCAGAACAGTAGTATTTGACTTAACCCTTGGTCCATAGGTTATCTACTCTCAGGTTTTTTGGTCACTCAAGCAGCAGTGGGTATGGGTTCAATCTGTAGGAGAGGGCCTTAAGTAAAATCAGATATTGGCGAGATTACTCCCACAAGCTTTGTGCCAACATTGCACTAGCATGTCTTGCAGATAGGATACAATTGTAGATAGGTAGGTGTTTACGTTTCTTCTTTGGTAGTGTGCAGACTACCTTCCACTACCAAGGACACTATCCCATAAGAGAGGAGGCTCTAGATAGGCACAAGCTTAACTTCTCTGTGTTCAGTGAGTTGTAGAAGTATTGTCTTCAGCAATAGGACCGTGATATCAGTGTGTGGAGAATAACCAATAGCCTTGGCAACAACCTAGGTTGTTGGGAGTTCCCATGAGGCCCTTTTGTCCAACAACTCAATTAGCTGTAACCCATTCCCAGTACTGGAAGTTTCATTTGGTGCAAGAGATGTCCAAGAGGGCTCTGTCTCCCCTGTCATTTGGTGATTTCATTTAGATCACCTTCAAATATGCACATATATTAGGAAGTTTCTACTGTATGGCCCTTAATTTTAGCTGTCTCTTCCTGTGTTCCCTCTCTCATCCTGCTCCTCACTTGATCCTCCCATTCCAATCATTCATCCTTATCCATCGTATCTATTCTATTTCCCTTTCCTAAGGAGATCTCTTTGCTCCTCTAGTCCCTTACTTTATACCTATCCTCTATAGTGGATTCTATAGATTGTAGTTTGCTTACAATTGAATTAACAGCTAGTATCCACATATAAGCAAATACATAGTACCTCACTCAGGATGATATGATTTTTTTTCTAGTTCCATTCACTGAAATTTCATTATTTTTCAGTGGCTGAGTAATGTTCTACTGTGCAAATTATCATGTTTTCTTTATCCATTCTTCTGTTGAGGGACATCTTGGCTATTTCCAATGTCTGTCTATTGTGAATACAGCAGCAATGAACATAGTTGAACAAGTGACTCTATGGTAAGATGAAGCATCCTTTGATACAGCAGAATCTTGAGGTAGATCTACTCTCCTCTTCTGAGGAACCACCACACTGATTTCCATAGTGGCCATATCAGTTTGCACTCCCAACAACAGTGGATGAGTGTTCCCCTTACTCCACATTATCACTAGCATGAACTGTTGCTTGTTTTACTGATCTTAGCCATTCTTAAAGGTGTAAGATGGAATCTCAAACTAGATTTTATTTGCATTTCCCTGATGGTTAAGGATGTTGAACATTTAAGAAATTCTCAGCCATTTGAGTTTCCTCACTTGAATTCTCTGTTTAGATCAGTACCCCATTTTTAATTGGATTTATTAGTATTTAATAGGATTTATTAGTATAATATTTTAATGGATTTATAGTTTTCTTATATCTACTTTCTTGAGTTCTTTATATATTTTGGATATTAGTCCTCCATCAGATGTATAGTTTATAGCCATTCTGTAGGCTGCCACTTTGTCAGAATGACAGTACCCTTTACCATGCAGAAGTGTCTCAGTTTCATGAGGTCCCATTGATTAATTGTTGACCTTAGTGCCTGTGATAATAGTGTTCTGTTCAGAAAGTGTTCTTGTGTCAATGAGATCAAAGCTCTGGCCCATGTTCTCTTCTGTCAGGTTCAGTATATCTGGTTTTATGTTGAGGTCTTTGATCTATTTGGAGTTGTTTTGTGCAGAATGATAAGCATGAATCTATTTGCGTTCTTCTACATGCAGACATCCAGTTTGACCAGCACCATTTGTTTAAAATGTTGTATTTTTTTCCAGTGTGTATTTCTGGCTTCTTTATCTGGGAAGAGTTGTGTTGGAATTTTGATAGATTGCAGATTACATTAAATCTGTAGATTGCTTCTGGTAAAATGGCCATTTTTACCATTGAAAACTTCAACTCAAAGCAGTTAGCCACACCCAAGAAACCACAAGGAATAAATAATCCCAGAGCAGAAAAAAACCAAAACACATAGCACAACAACAAAACAATAGGAATTAACAACAAGCACCGCTCATTGATAACTTTTAACATCAATGGTCTCAATGCCCCATCTGCAGTGGTTGTGTGTTGCTTGGTAGCGAATTCTAGGATCCTACTAGGTACAGCCATTGGGTGTTCCAAAAAGAATGCATTTCTAAATACTGGGAGCTGACACTTAGAATGGGAATGGGAAGAGGCAGAGGGCTGAGGGTATCCACAGGAGTACTAGTACTCCACTAGTATCTGCTTACTTCCCCTGGAAATGGTGGTAGAGAGAGAGGAGAGGCCACAGCAGGTAGTCTGCTACCAGGCTGAGGATGAGACTGGGGGATTGGACTTGGAGGAGAGGAGGGAGAGTAGAGATCTCTAGTTCACCTACCTGCTTAGCTGACCTATTTGCTTATCTGGCAAGCTTGGCTGATGGATTCCCAGGAAATGCCTGATGGTGTTGAGGGCTGGGATAATGGGATGAGTGGGGAGAAAGGCTGGAGGAGATCTGTGTGAATCACTGGAGATGAGGGCAAGAAGGGAGGAGAGGCCGCAACAATAGGTCTGCTGCAGAGGTAGGGGTGAGACTGGGAGACTGAATTTGGAGGAGAGAAGGGAGACGTGAAGATCTGCTGTTAGCCTACCTCCATTTGAATTTTTTATTTTTATATATTTTGTTTTTTTATTATTTTAGACAGTTTTTAAATGTAAATATATTTTGATCATATTTTTCCCCCTCCCCCAAGTCTTTGGTCACAATCACCAACGTATAAGTTTGTTGTGTAAAGAATTTTTAGAGCCAGGTGGTGGTGGCACACGCCTTTAATCCCAGCACTCGGGAGGCAGAGCCAGGCAGATCTTTGTGAGTTCAAGGCCAGCCTGGTCTACAGAGCGAGATCCAGGAAAGGCACAAAGCTACATAGAGAACCCCTGTCTCGGAAAAAAAAAAAAGAATTTTTAGAACAGTGATTGAGATATATTGAGGAATCAATATCGCTATTACTGTTACTCTATTAAAAAATAAAATAAGATAAAAATGGCCCAATAATGAAAGAAAAATATTCTTGAGCCTTGGTATCTCAAAATAGTAAATATCAGTTGCTGAACTTTTTTTTTCCACAGTCAACACCCTTTTATGGGATGAGGAATTATTCCCTTCAAAGACCTTTCAACCATCCTTTCACAGTTGACTCACCATGGCAACATAAAATTTAAGAATATCACATGGCTTTTGATATTTATATATTTGCATGTTTTAATTTTATTTTAATATATAACCCTTTGTGATACCTTTGAAAATAATCTATCAGGGGGCTGGAGAGATGGCTCAGAGGTTAAGAGCACTGACTGTTCTTCCAGAGGTCCTGAGTTCAATTCCCAGCACCCACATGGTGGCTCACAACCATCTGTAATGAGATCTGGCTCCCTCTTCTGTGTACATAATAAATAAATAAATCTTTAAAAAAAAAAAAAAAAAAAAAAAAAAA